GCCACCCAGGGGAATAGTACTCAGCAATAAAAAGGAGCGAACTATTTATTCACACAACAACATGGATGAATCAAAATGATGCTAAGTGAAAGAACCCAGACCAAAATGAGTGTATACTGAATTATTTCATTTATATGGAACTCTCGAAAAGGCAAACTGATCGATATGGCAACAGAAAGCAGTTAAGAGGTTGCCTGAGGACAGGAGGTTGCCTGAGGAAGAAGGAATGATTACCAAGTGACAGGAGGAAAGTTTCTGAGGTGGAGGATAGGTTCATTATCTTAATTGTGGTGATGGTTTCAGCTGTACTGACTGATACATCAAGACTCCATAACCAGTGGTCGGCAAACTCATTAGTCAACAGACCCAAATATCAACAGTACAACAATTGAAATTTCTTTTGAGAGCCCAATTTTTTTAAACTTAAACTTCTTCTAGCACCACTTTTTCAAAATAGACTCTCCCAGGCTGTGGTATTTTGTGGAAGAGCCACTTTCAAGGGGCCAAAGAGCCACATGTGGCTCAAGAACCACAATTTGCTGACCACAGCCCTAACTGGTTTGGCTCAGTGGATAAAGTGTCAGCCTGTGAATTGAAGGGTCCCAGGTTTGATTCCGGTTGAGGGCATGTACTTTGGTTGTAGGCACATCCCAGTAGCGGGTGTGCAGGAGGCAGCTGATTGATGTTTCTCTCTCACTGATGTTTCTAACTTTCTCTCCCTCTCCCTTCTTTTCTGTAAAAAAAAACCATTTATACACACACACACACACACACACACACACACACACACATATATATTTATATATATTTTTTAAGACTCCTAAGTTGGACAGTTTATATGGACAGTTTACAGTATATCAATTGTACTCGAATAAAGTTTTTAAAATAATAATAAAACCACCTAAGTACTGAGGAGTTTGGGCTGGTTGGAGAGAGCTCTCTGAAAGGGGAGACGAGATAGTTTTCACCTGGCCCTGTGGAGCTGAGCCAACTTGACCGAAGAGAACTTCTCAAGTCAGCTTTGCCTCAAAAGGCTCTCCTAGATTCTAGCAATAGGAGAAGGGAGATGGAAAGAAAAATCACTGAAGTGGAGGGCTAGGTTTGCTATTTGGCTTGGGTACAAAAATCTTATTAGCACCAAAGGTTTATGGGTAAAATGTTGTAATTTTATTTGTTCAACATCTGATTCTTTTAGACTTGGCCTCATTTTCTTTAGGACACTGGGATCTCACTCTGCCCAATCTTTCCCTCTCAGACTGTCCTACGTATGGCTGAACCAGGACAAACAACAGGGATGGGGAGAGAGTGATGCTGCAGGGATACCTCTGAGCCTATGGTACCCATTCCTGTCTCCATTTCTGACGGGAGGTGGGGGAGCGCAGAATGAGGGGAGGTAGACAGCCCTGCCTGACAGCCCAGCTAAGCTCACCATCCTGAGTGCTTAGAATCTTTGAAAATGAATGAGGCTGAACATTCCGGAAACTCAAGAGGAAAGAGTCTCTCTCAGGTCCTGGGAGGAAGGGTGAAGAGTCCTTAGGACCTGATTCTTTCTTTTTCTTCAGAATCCTTTGCTGGAGGAGTTCCCTACCCTCTCACCTTTACCACTTTACTCCTCTCTATCCTTCACATTCCTGAAGCCCTAGACAATGTCCCCAGGTATCCATCAGCTGCTCAACATTACCTGGGTCCCTCCCCTGTATGATGATAGCATCTATCAGCACTGCCCTATGTCCTATGGTTTCAGATGTCCCTCACAGGACCAGGGGTTAAAATGGACACTTTCCTTTTATTTTATACTCTAGGACTATAAAATGGGGCAATTTTTGAATCTTGGCCTATTTTAAGCATGCCAAGGAATTTGAGTTTGGACTGTCGGAACCTAAAGATACCCTGCTGACAGGACTTATAAAAAGTAGCCAGCAGCCTTGGCAGAATTGCTCACCAAGCCATCTGCATCAGAATCGCCTGGGGTACTTGCTACGGAGACCAGCTCCAGGACCCCATCCCAGACCTCAAGATTCAGATAATCTGGGAATCTGATTCGGATGCACAGGAATAGCATACGAGACCCTCTGCTTTAAAGGGACAGCTTCTCTTTGCTCTTTCTCTCATATCTTATTCTTGCCATGTTTTGTTTCTTGGGAGTATGTGGGAGAAATTCTTAAGAATCTGTAACAGGCATAGACTTGTGTTCCTGGGCTTAGAGTGAGATGGGGAGAGATGGGTGGGGCTGGGAAGAGGTGTGCCAATGCAAATATTGTCCCATCGGTACCTGGCGATTTTGTCTGGAGGCACACAAGGATATGCCCTTTGCTAGAGAATATGGCTTGGTTTCCCGGCTCCAGGCTGAGGAGTCCGGTACCATGGGAAAAGGCAGAGATCAATGGTGTTCAGGAAGGCTGGAATGTAAGAAAAAGAATTGGGCCAATTCCAGGCGATTGCTGGAATTCCCCTGGCCCCAGGAGAAGGTATCCATGGGTAACCTGAGAGAGACCCTCAGAGAGAAGAAGAGTGGAGGTAGGTGAGACTTTGACTTCATTCAAGGATTGAGAACTGTACCAGGTAGGGAGGGCAATTGTTCATTGTCCTTAATTTGGGGGGTCAGAAGTTGGGAGGAGCGGGCCCAAGGCTTGGGAACTCCAAGACACCAAATCCATTGCACCCATCTGAGTAATAGATGGTGGTGTCTGATCAATTCACAGAAGATTTAAGATTGGAAGTAATGCTTCCATTCAGTGATCCTTCCATCACTTTCCTCGCCAAAAACTCAACCAATACCCTTCCTACCTCACACATAAAGCAAGTCATTCGGGTTGACTCCTACTTATCCTTCCCAACTCCATTCCTAAGCCCACCTTTCCTAAGCCCCGGGGCGGGTTGGGTGTCCTTCTCTGTGCTCCCAGAGAGCCCCAGAATTGCCCGTGTTACATAACATAACACCATGTTGTAATTTTTTGCTTACCTTTCTGTTTCCTCAACTGACATAGTCTGCAAAGTTGTTGTGGCCAGCTTAAGGCCTCTGGGAATAGAAGATGCTCATGAGCCCACAAGGATTGCTATAGTCACAAGTGTGGAACCTCCTGGGCTGGGACCAGAGGAACCTAGCTTCTCAGGCCTCCTACATAACAGTACAGACTTGGTCTGGATGGGAACCTTAAACACCAGGCCAGCCTCCTGCCCACTCTGTCTCATGCCCCCGGAAGCTGCCAAGGATGGCAGCTCCAGCTGGCAAGTAATGAGATTTCTTCCTGGAAGGATTCTTGGCTTGAGAACTGGCCCTCGCCTCCTCTAAGTTTCTTCAACACCCTCAGGTTTCTGGGGACGTGGAGGATGGGAGGGAGAGTCTGAGTCAGCTCCAGCTTTTACTATTTCCCAGAGCCCTTGTGACCACCCCTTAACTCCTGCCAAGTGCATATGGGCAAGAGTTCCCAAGGACATAGATTTTCCCAACCCTTGGTAGAGATGGGGAGCGGGGTTGGCTAAACATTTGGAGCCAGAATAGTTCTGCCTCTGACCACGTGTTCCACCCCTACCTCTGGCCTTCTTTAGCTTTAACCAACCAGGATAAAGCTGCAGCACACCAGATTGAGAAGGAACAGGCCCAGAATCAAGAAGACAAGACCCTGCCTTGCTGTGTGGTTCAGTGGTTGAGTACTGATTTATGAACCAGAGGTCAAGGTTTGATTCATAGTTAGGGCACATGTCCTAGTTGTGGGCTTATCCCCAGTAGGTGGTGTATAGGAGGCAGCCGATCAATGATTCTCCCTCATCATTGATATTTCTCTCTCCCTCTCCCTTCCTCTCTGAAAACAATTAAAAAATACATTAAAAATAAATTTAAAGCCCTAACCGGTTTGGCTCAGTGGATAGAATGTCGGCCTGTGAACTGAAGGGTCCCAGGTTCGATTCTGGTCAAGGGCATATACCCTGGTTGTAAGCACATTCCCAGTAGGGGTTGTGCAGGAGGCAACTGATCAATGTTTCTCTCATGGATGCTTCTCTCTCTTCCTCTCTGTAAAAAAATCAATAAAATATATTTTAAAAATAAATTTTAAAATACATACTGAAGAGAAAAAAAAAAAAAAAAAAGACCCACACACCTAGCCCTTATAAGGAATTCATTCTAACCCTGGCTGGTTTGGCTCAATTGGTTGGAGCATTGTCCTGTGCACTAGGTCACAGGATCCACTCCTGATTAAGGCACATACCTGGGTTGTGGGTTCGGTCCCCAGTCACCATAACTCTCTCATATTGACATCTTTCTCCTTCTTCCCTTTCTAAAATCAATTTTTAAAAAAGAATTCATTCCAATGACACACAGTGGGCATGACGACTCTGGTGGGAATATCCTTGTCTCTGTAAAAACACCTCAAAACCTTCAACAGGGAGGCAGACTGCAGAGCCCACCCCCAGCCCAGGAAAGATACGCGCAACGACAGCTATTTTATTTTCCTTTTAATTTTTCTGAAGGATATACACCACATATCCCATGAGCAATAAAGCGCATTCAATGTGTTTATAAGCCAAACAGTCACTTTGTTTAAGCAAACACAAGTACATAGTAAAAATAAAACCACAAAATAATGAACTGCATGTTCATAACATACAAAAATCGCCGCCTACTCAGTAGGTAACTACAACATTCCAACTCCTGAATATATTTATAAATTTACATTTTCAGTTAAAAAAATAGACTTTTGAGAGTTCAGATTTTTAGATTTTTTCCCCTTACATTCTGGAGAACCGAAGCTCAGCTCAGCCCTCTTCCTTGTTTTGCTTCCAAAGCTTTCCCCCAATCATCACTCCCTGCCCCCCTTAAGGCTAGAGGTGAGCACGTCCCTTAAACTGGCACAGGTCAAGCTGTCAGCAAGGCGTATCACACAAAAGGCACCAAGACGTGAAACTTTTAAACCAAAGGGACGAAGAAAACCACTTTCAAAAAAAGAAGAAGAAAAACCAAACCATATTTTGCCACATGTGAGAGTACAGTCGGGCAATATTTACAAAAAGGTTAACGGAACATCACTCTGACACATGCTCTGATTAATACCAAGGACTGCTGTTTCAAAAAAAGCTTCAAACTTAATCATCACAGCATCATCACAAAATAAAGGATCACCATTGTTGGTTTGCTTGGTTTTTCTCCCCCCTCCCCCCCAAAGTGAGGCCCAGCTCCAAATAATACAATAGAATATGCAAATTATCTTCACATCAAGAGTACCCCAAGAAAAACAAAATCCATAGCACAGACACTGTACAAGGGTACAGGGCTGGGCTCTGAGGGGCCCGAACCCCATTTTGCCAACTTGATTTTCTAGCATTGGAGGGATGGGGGGGTCAGGCCTATGGCGGAGATGATACTGAAATGATATATCCAAAATCCATGCAAATCAAGTTCTTTGGATAGAGGTGAAGAACTTGGACATGGCTGTTTTCAGGCAGCTGAAGTCAAAGGGAGTCGATGAGGAAGGGGGAGAGGGCAGAAAGGATTGTTGGCCAACAGAATTTCCACGCTGACCCCAGGGGGTCAAGTTAGAGGAGAAGGATTGGCTCCGAGAACCTCCATCTGACATAGGAGGAACCCTCCTACGGCCATCTCCTCCTCCTGTCCTTTAAGTCTCTTGTGTTTCTTTTCCTCCCTTTTCCCTTTTTTCCCTCTTTTCCTTTAGCAAATTTCAATTGTCCTGGGAGAAAAGGTGGTTGTCATGTCCGAAAGCCCTGTGGAGGCGCTGAAGGAGTTGGTGACCGCCGAGGAAGGGAAGCTGCTGACTTGGGCCGCGAAAGCAGGGGGGACGGAGGAGTACGTGGTGGCCACGGAGGGCGAGGGGAAACCGCTGTGCACAGGGGAGGGGTAGGTGGAAGAGCCAGGGGAGGAGTAGGAGGTGGGCACGGGGGACGGGTAGGAGGTGGTGGCCGGGGACGGGTAAGAGGTAGTGACCGGGGAGGTATAGGAGGTAGCCACTGGTGATGAGTAGGAAGAGAGGGAGGGGGTGGCCGAGGAGGCCACCCCTTTGTCTGCTTTCTTGTCCTTCTGCCGCAGGTGGATCTTGGTATGCCTCTTGCGCTCATCGCTCCTGGCGAACTTTCTCCCACAGATGTCACAGGCGAAGGGCTTCTCGCCTGTGTGGGTGCGGATGTGCGTGGTGAGATGGTCGCTGCGGCTGAAGTTGCGCATGCAGATGCGGCACTGGAAGGGCTTCTGGCCCGTGTGGATGCGAATGTGGCGGGTGAGCTCATCGGAGCGGGAGAAGCGGCGGTCGCAGGACTCCACCGGACAGGCGTAGGGGCGCTCGTGGGGGGGCGTCTTGCTGGGCCGGTTGGGGTACTTGCGCATGCGGCTGGGTTTGATGAGCTGGGACTGGTAAGAGGTGTTGAGGGCCTTGAGGTCCTGAGAGCCCGACTGGGTGGCAAAGGCCTTGATGGTGGAGAGGGGAGTGAGGGAAGGCTGCTGAGGACGGCCCTCCAGGCCCTGGAAGGGCTTCTGGTCTGGGGTGCCCAGGCCCAGGTCCCCCTGCTGTTGTGGAAACAGATAGTCTGGAATCATGGGGACCTGGAAGCTGCCCTTGGTGGCAGGGTAGGCAGGCGGCGGCGGGTACTGGAGCGCAGTGCCTGCCGGGCCTGGAAAGGCCTGGCCTTGAGGCTCAGGGAAGATGTCAGTGTTGGGTCCTGTGGGGTAGGTGGGTGCCGCCGAGTAAATGGGGCTGCTGTCGTTGGACTGCGCCGCGCAGCTCAGGGGTGGGCTCTGGGAGGCCGAGGAGGAGGAAGAGGAGGAGGAGGAAGAGGCTGCCGGAGATGGTGCCGAGGAGGAGGTGGCTGGTGGGTTGCTCATGCTCACGAGGCCGCTAACCAGGCTGAAGAGGGGCTCGGGCCACAAGGTGTTGCCACTGTTGGGTGCAGGCTCCAGGGAGAAGCGGCCCGTGTAGGTGATGGGGGGCAGCCGGGTGGTGTGGCTGGAATAACTTGTCTCCACCAAAACCTTCTCGTTATTCAGGGACATGTCAGGAAAAGACTCTGGCAGGAGAAAAAAGAGGAGGCGGCTTGGTTACTGGAGAGCAATCACTGGAGGAGAAGGAGGAGGAAGAGGAGGAGGAGCGAGGCTGTCAGGCAAGAGGTCGGGCCGGCAAAATCATTGACTGCCCAGCTGGTTAATAATTGATAACAGCAGACTGCAATGTTCCTGGACCCGCTCCAGCGGCAGAACCCAATTCAACAACAGCTGACGCAAATACGGAGAATCCCCCTCCGCTGCAGCGCCCGGCACTCCGCAGCGGCGGCGGCTGCGCGGCGCAGGGATTCCCGCCAGCTCCCCGCTCAGTCCCGCTATGCGCATCCCCTTCCCCGGGGAGCCGGGCATCCCCGGCCGCGGATCACAGCCCTTCCCTGGGGGATGGGCGGGAGGCAAGGCAAGCTTTTCGGGAGGGGGGAGGGCCACGCAGTGCCGCTTATCAAAACAAGCCCTCCCTCCCCCCACCGCCACCCACCCACGCAGCCCCACAGCTCTTCCAAAACAAGAGCTCGCTCCCCTGCGCGCCGCCGGGGATGAGGAGGGTGGGGGCGGGGGTGGATGTCCCCAGGCATCCACCCCCGCCCCCACACTCTTCATCCCCGAGATGCAAGGACTAGGAGGGAAACCCCACTTGTCCCCTTGAGATCCTGCAAAGGCTGTGGGGGAGGACTGGGCGCTAGGATGGGGGCGAAGGGGCTAAATCTTGGAGTAGGCCATCGCTTACCTGGGGTCAAGTGCTCGTAGGGCTGGTCGCCCGCCTCTCCTTGCGGGTTGAAAGCGCTGCCGCTGTTGCTGCTGCTGCTGCTGCCCCCGCCGCCTCCGCCGCTGCTGCTGCTGCCGCTGCTGCCGCCACCGCTGCCCTCGGGCGCCCCGGCGGCTCCCAGGAACTGGGGAGCCCCGTTGCTCAGCATCATCATCTCCTCCAGCTTTGGGTAGTTGTCCATGGCGGGCGAGTGGGGAAAGGAGCCGAACGGGTCCGAGATCTGCAGCGGGGACATCAGCTGCATCTCGGCCTTGGCTGCGGCCATCCCAGACGGGCGGGCGGGCTGGAGCGCGGCTGCTGGGGCGGACGGGGCAGCGCGGGGCTGGAGAGGCGGGGGGCACACTCCCGGCAACCTGGCCGGGTCACATGCGGGGCTCGGGGCACACTGTGGGGAGCGCGGGCGGAGTCCCCGGGCTTGCCCTCGCCGCCGGCCGGGGTGCGCGCGGCGTGGCTGCGGGGCCGGTCCTGGCGGCGGAAGCGGGCGGCGGCGGTCGCTGGCGGCGGCGGCTCCCCAAGTTATGCGCGCTGGGATCTCTCGCGGCTCCCCGGATCCGCCTCTATTTGAAGGGTCTGGCGCCGCGCGGGCCAGCCCCCGTCGTGACGTACATGGCCATATATGGGAAGCAGGAAGCCCTAATATGGAAAGGCGGCCGGGAGGACCCGGAGTGACGTGAAGCCCCCGGTCCCAGGCCCCGGTGGGCATTGCCACCCCGCGCCCCGGGCCCTCCGCCCGCTCTGGGCACCCGGGAGCCCGCACCTCGCAGCAGCCCAAGGCCCCAGCCGCAGCCGGGCGCTGGCGGAGCCCAGCGGCCCCGGGATCCCGGCGCTGCCCCCGCCCCTTCCCTCCGCCCCTCGCCGCCCCCCCTCCCTCCTCCCGGCGCCGGAAGCGGCCGGCCCATATCGGGCCGCTCCAAATAAGGCGCTGACCAAATAAGGGCTGTTCCGGCGGGGGATCCTTCCTGCGCCTTATATGGCGTTTCCGGCCTCCGCCGGCTGCTCCGGGCTCCTCCCTCCCCTCTGGGTCCCCGCCGGGAGCCCGGGCGCGCGCGAGAGCGGGGGACGCCCGGGCGCGCAGCCTCGGCTCCGGAGGCTCCCCGGCGGGACCGGGCTGGGGAAGCCCGGCCGGGGCGGGGGCGAGGGCGAGCCGGGCCGGCGTCCTCTCCCGTCACCCAGCGCCCGCCCGCCCCTGGGACCGTGGGAGCGGAGCGGGAGCGAAGGGGAGGAGCGGCGAGCCGCCGGGTCGGAGGCCTCCCTCCCGGGAGGGCGGGGCCTTGACCCCCGGCCGCCACCTGCCTCGTGGGGCCTGTCCAGGTCCTCGCGGGGGAGTGAGGCTGGGAAATAACAGCTTAGATGGCTCCTGGGTTCCTATGCGTTGCAATGGGCATCCTGCTTCTCGGACCTTTTCCAGTGGGATGTTGGAGCTTGGGGATCCCTCTTGGCCACCCAGAGCTGAAAGGCGATTCCCTGGTGTCCTCCGGGAAAGAGGCCACCTTTGGGTGACCGGATGAGGGGATATCTGATTGCCCTAGGGGAGACCTGAGTCCTTTTCCCCCTCCCCCCAGGCACTGGTGATCCTTGTGGTGGTGGGAGGCTTTCCCATCTTTATCCAGAGTGGGTGGAGGTGGGGTGGACAGGGCAGGAGTCTGAAAAGGGGGCTTCCCTGCGGGCAGCCTGGGGACCCCGGGCCGGGACGTGGAAAGGACGTGCTCAGCGGTTTGGTGCTGCCCCCTGGAGGTCCCTCTCCGGCTCGGCTCCGGAGCCCCCGGCCGAGCGGGCTCTTCCGCCGTCTTCCCGCCCCCCCTCCGGGCTCCGCGCCGGCGCCGCGCCAGGCCGGGGGCGCGGGAGCCGCAGTGAGCGCGCACTGAGCAGGCGCCGCAGCCGGGCTCCCCCCGCGGCCCCCGGGGAGCCGCCGCCGCCGAGGCGACCGGGCTCCGCGCGGGGCGACGCTCCCTCCCCGCGATGGAGAGGGTGCGGGGGCGGAACCGTTACCGCAGGCCTCCGGGGAGCGGACACAAGCAGGGAAGCCCTTCCCTGTCCGGTCCGCACACCCCAAAGACAACAGGGATCCCGGGGGCGGAAGACCAGCTCTAGCTCTGAATCCAGGGGAAGAAGGGTGTTTTTTTTTTTCTCTTTTTTTTCTGAATTTAAAAAGAAAACAGCCTGGCCGACGTGGCTCAGCGGTTGAGTGTGGACCTATGAACCAGGTTCGATGCCGGTCGGGCCACATGCCTGGGTTGCAGACCCGATCCCCAGCGCAGGGGGCAGCCGATCGATGATTCTGTTTCATCATTGATGTTTCCATCTCTCCCTCTCCCTCTCTGAAGTCAATAAAAATGCATTTGAAAAAATGAAAATAAAGCAGAAGATGTGTCTGTGGAAGGAGGGTGCTGATGACACCTGGAGGGAAGTGGGCAGGTCAAGGTCTCTAGGAACCAAAGAGCCTCAGAAAGTCGGGGTCAAGGGATTTGAATTGGGGGGAGGAGGGAGGGTTGTGACTCTCTTGGGCTTCATCCCTCTGTAACCGCCCCACCCCCACCACACACACACACACACACACACACACACACACACACGCACGCACGCACACATTTTTTAAAATAAAAATCTTTTTTTTAAAAAATATATTTTATTGATTTTTCACAGAGAGGAAGAGAGAGGGATAGAGAGCTAGAAACATTGATGAGAGAGAATCATAGATCAGCTGCCTCTTGCACACACCCTACTGGGGATGTGCCCGCAACCAAGGTACATGCCCTTGACCGGAATCGAATCCGGGGCCTTTCAGTCTGCAGGCCGACGCTCTATCCACTGAGCCAAACCGGTCCCGGCAAAATAAAAATCTTAAAAAAATATATACTTTTATTGGTTTCAGAGAGGAAGTGGGAGGGAGAAACATCAGTGATGAGAGAATCATTGATCGGCTGCCTCCCGCAGTACTAGGGATCAAGCCCACCACCTGTGTGTGTGCCTGCACCGGAACCAAACCCAGGACCTTTCAGGCCGCAGGCCTATGCTCCATCTACTGAGCCAAACCAGCCAGGGCTATAAAAGTCTTTTTAAGGAACCCTGCAGTGAACCAGGATTCCCTTGTCTCTCTGCTCTAGGTCTGAGCTCCTCATCCCAGTGCCTAGGGCTGGGTAGGAGACCCACTCCCACCAACTACCCACGGAGCTGTCCATTTAGGGGCAGGAGTGATGAGCCTGCCTGGGGCCTCCTGCAGGCCGGGAAGGCCCAGCCAAGCAGGGTCATGTGGCTCTGTGTCTGAATGCCTGTTTTGCCACTCCCTGGTGAGGTACCTTCCCCGGGCTCTTTGTATCTTGCTTCCTTCAACTGTAAAATAGGGCTAATGTGACTGATATCCACATAAAGGGTTATCGTGAAGACTGAAACTTAAATGGACTGCCATCTGTGAAGTCCCAAAGCACAGGGCCTGCCTTCCAGTTGGCATTTAATAAACAGTGGCTATTGTTGTTCTCAGGGGCTTCTGTCCCACAGGGTCACCCACAGTCCACCCACACACCCTTGGCCTCTGAGCAAGCCCCAACGACCCTTTTCTGACCAGTGGCACAGAGAGGGAGAAACATTTCAATTCTGACACAGGGGGCATTGTCCTGCAGAGCTGATCTGAATCCTTCTCGCTGCAGTAGAACATCATTTCCTAGAGCAGAATTTGAAACTGTGACTGTGCAGAAGACTCACCCCTGGAGCCCTGAAAAAGAAAGGTTTTACCCTAGACCAATGGTCGGCAAACTGCGGCTCACGAGCTGAGGTTTGCCACTCTGTTGACTAATGAGTTTGCCAACCACTGCCCTAGACCAACTGAATCATAATCTTCCTGAGCTTGTGAGTGCCAGAACTGAGCAAGCACCTCATTGTAGTATCCCCTCGCTGTCCCCCAAAAGCACAGCCTCCTCCTGAGGCAGGGCAAACCAGTTCCCCTGTGATTCTAATGTGCAAGCTGACCTAAGGAATCTTAAGGTCCTTGCTGAAGCTGAGCCATGGAAATCCTTGTAGTATACATCTTTTGTTTTGGGTGCCCATCATCAATTCCCCTTTCTTTTCATAACTACTCCCCAGCCAGTGACTTTCTTTGAGGAACCACCCCAATCCCTGTGGTTGGGGGAAGATGACCCCATCCTACATCGAGAAGTATGTACGTCGCCCACACCTGGCCATCCACCTAGGGATGCTCTAGTCTAGGTGCACTCCATCTTCCTAGTTATGAAGATTGAATCTGGACAGGCACATGACTCAAACCAGGCCCATGAGCATCACTTCTGGGACTCTTAAAACAGGAATTCTCTTCCCCTGAAGGTACTCAGCCGATGGAATGTGAGCCTGGAGGCCATCTTGCCATCAGGCTGGAGAGCCTACCCAGGAAACCAGTGCAGAGGAAGTCAGAGAGAAAAAATCTACAGAGAGCAATTCTCCGGATAAAGTCTGGGAGTTTTATTTTTATTTATTTTTAAAATATATTTTATTGATTTTACATAGAGAGGAATTGAGAGGGACAGAGAGTTAGAAACGTCGATGAGAGAGAACCATCGACCAGCTGCCTCTTGCACACCCCCCACTGGGGATGTGCCCGCAACTAAGGTACATGCCCTTGACCGGAATCGAACCTGGGACCTTTCAGTCCGCAGGCCTACGCTCTATCCACTAAGCCAAACCAGTCCTGGCAAGTCTGGGAGTTTTAGTTATGCAGACTAAGTTCCTCTTTTATTTAATAAAATAAAACAGGCACATTTCTGTTTCTGACAACCTAGGAGGTTCTCATTAATACACTCATTATCCACAACAAAAATCTTTTCTGAGGACTAACTGTGGACAGGACGGGCTAAGGCCTACAGCTTAGGCCCTTGTCTCTAAGGAACTTACAGTTGGGTAGAAGAAGTCTCGGTTCTATGTTACATAAGAATTAAGAATAGGTGGCCTAGCTGGTGTGCTCAGTGGATAGAGCGACAGCAAACACACCAAAGGATCAATTCCTGGTCAAGGGAACGCACATACCTGCTTTGCAGGTTCAATATCTGGCCTGGTTGGGAGGTGTGCCGGAGACAACCAATCAATGTGTCTCTTTCACATTGATGTTCCTCTTTCTCTCTTCCTCCCACTCTCTCTAAAAATAAATGGGAAAATAATATCCTTAGCTAAAGACTAACAAAATAAACAAACAAAACAAAAAAAGAATTAAGAATAAGAAGCAAACCCTGGCTGAGCAGCTCAGTTGGTTAGAGAGTTTGACCTGATAGACCAAGATTTCAG